AATTCCCACCACATGGAATGGGAGTTGGTTTGACACTGGCTATTCCAACCAGCCCCTTCACAGCAGAGGCCTCCAGCTGCCAGCAGCCCCACCTCGTAGGGCTGGGTCTAAGGCACCAATTTCCCTGGTAGTCACTGACATCAGTACAAGTTTTGACATGATCTTAGTGTGTAAGGACACTATCAAGTAAACCTGAACCTGGAAATCAATCTAAAACACCTCTGTCCCCACAACTGGTTTTACCTAATTCAACACAGAGGCAATCTGATGGGAGAAAAATCTTCTGTTTTCAATACCTGTACAGCAAGAAACCAGAAACTGCCATTAAGATAAAACACATGAAGTATAATGGCAGTGAGTCAGAAAGAGCAGTTCTCACAGATCTCTCATAGAAAATCTGGAGAAAACTTGTCTTCCCCAAGACAAATTCCATTTTGATTATATTCTATTTTGATTCTAGCATGTCAATTCCTATCATTCTAGCAACTATTTTAGCAAACTTCTGCCTCTAAAACCAAGCAGCATTTTGCAACCTTATAAAAACAATCACCCAAACTGCTGTGACTATAAACTGTACGGTGTTTTTTTACTGTAGTATTTTGGAAGCGACAGCTATAAATACCCTCCCTTTCAAAGCAGGCTGCAGGACATATGGAGGCACTGCAATTTAAAATCCATGAAAGCTCATTTGCTTTGTGAAACAGTATCCTAATTTGGAATTTTCTACTTGATTGTAAAGGGTTTTTTTTTACAGGATGTGTACTGTGGTCGTATTGGGGGCAGCACTGAGAACTCAAGGAAAGCATCAAGAAAGCACCAGATAAACTATGAGTGTGGCAAATCCTGCCTATCGTTCTAAAACAAGATCCATTTGCCACAATGGAGAGAAACCAGATTGATACAGATAAAGGCTCATGCTCTGTAGGCTGCCAGAAGCTCATGTACAGAGCAGGGAGCCCAGCCAAATGACCCTGTGTAGGTTCAAACTGCTTGAGAGCTGGAAGGGGCCCAGGCCAGGCAGAGGTGGTGCTGCAGGGCTGTCCTATGGACACACGGCTGCCAAAGGCTGATCCATGAGAGCAGAGGGCAGGCACTGGGAGGAAGGGTGGGAAAGCAGCACACAGCATGAGTGATGTGGCAGTGCTGCCTCCCCCCCGTCAGCTCTTGGGGTGATGCGCCTCATTCCTCACCTTTTGTCCCCAGTAACTCCTGGGGAAGAGATGAGAGCATCAGGAAGTCAACATGAATCTGTTCTGGAGCTCAGGAGGAGCTGTGTTTCAGGGCTCTGTGGTATGGCATCCAACAGAGGAGACTTAGTGTCTACTGCAGGTCTCTGGGGGTGTTAGAACAGAAAGAAACAGTGGTAATTCATGACCAGAATGCTGTTGACGGATGCTAATGCTTCAGAGTAGAAATTAACAAGGATCATGAAAACCCACAGTACAAAAAGCTCCTCCAGAACCAAAAGTCCTGCACAAAACTGGAAGTCCTATTGAGAAGAGATGACGCTGATCATAAACTTGACTGTAGGCAGGTGTCCTGCCTTGTTTTGATGTTGTGCACATCAACAAATACAGATTATCCCAATTCCTGTCTATTTCCTTGCATTTTATTAGAAATCAGTTGTTCAACACTAGACTTATGTAGCTAGACAGAAATGAGAACGTGCCACATGTTCTTCCTAGGGTGTCAATAATGAATGGAAGGAACCAGTGACTATCCCTTGATAAATGAACTTTGCTGTTATTACCAAGCGTAGGCTGTATCAGGATGTAACCAGGGAGTGGGCACTATTTCATCCTGCTACCCCTCATCCTTTACTTGTGTTATGACATATTTTGCTATGATATCATGGCAAGGAAAACTGGCATCATAACACAGAGCACAGTGCAAGAAGCCCTGTACTGCTGGTCTGCATACACAAATAATAGAAAGACTGGGGTTTTGTTCAGTCTGCTTATATTTATAAAACCCTGGCAATAACTACTGTACTATTATTTAAAATACAAGATTATTCTGCTTAAAAGTTAGTCAAGGAATATTTCTGTGTCTTTTGGGAATGATCTTTGTGTTTTACAAGGTCAAGCTCTAACTGTGATACAGACTGGTTGCTGAGCTTAGGGTTTCTTTTAAACTCTGTAGAAGTTATTTCCCTAATACAATGAGAACTCCTAACCAGATACAATATAAAAAAGGACAATGCAACTTCAAGCTAAGATGCTTGCTGATACTGTTCAGCAGTAAAAGGTACTCCAACACTGCGCTGCTAGTGGTAGAAGCTACAACTATCAATATTTATCTCCTCTGAGAAATGGACTAAAAATGCATTTCCTTGCATTTGGGAGAGCATGTTCCCGAGCATAGAGATTTCCAGGCTCAGCAAAATCCCTTTCAAATGCTATGATGGAAATACGTCTTTGTCTAAATGCTGGTGGTAATTTGACAAAACTTACTGTTTCAGAATGAAGCTTTATCAGAGAACAGGAGTTCTGCTGAGGCCTTGAAAACTGTTGCCCTTTTACGTTTTGATATGACTGTGTCATGAAGAAATGAGAGATACACCTACCAAACCCCTGCTCAGTCGCTGGACCTGCATGGGAAGCAGAACAGCCAGTTTTAAGGACTGGTTTTGAATGAGCAAGTCCAGGTACCCTGGGACTGACCGTGGCATGTACCTGCCTTTCTGCTCTTGTGACAAGTTGCTTCATGTTGGGGTTGAGAAACTTTCCTAGCCACAAGCTTCTCTAGAACCCACAGCCCCACTGAAAGGTCCTGTTGTGTGCAGCATGTCCCAAAGCATGTCCCTTCCATGCTGACTGGGTGTACACACACCTACAGGGACCTTGTTTATCGACATTTCTGATGGCCACTGGGTTCTCGAAGTGTGATCACGCTGTAAATTCTCCACCTATGTTCAGAATGCTTTGCAAGACTCTTGAAAACCCAACTGGATTATTTCAAGGGTAGCTGCAGGCAATACTATATAAGATCATAACTAAAGGGTGCTTGCATGGCCTTTGCGAGATTTTGGGTTAAGCATTTCAGTTGAAATGATTAAATTCTCAGCTATTTCTGAAAGTTAGTTGTGAATTTTTAACTTGTCACAAAACTATTTTTGTTATGAGCGTAGTATTTTTAATCTGATTGTACAATGAGTATGTACAGGACGTGCAGAGAGTAGTAGTTTGATGTGCTGATCTAGACAACCTTAGGCAAAGCGTGCCTTAGTTAACCACGAAGAGGTATGCCTGGGAGCTCAATGTTACAGAAGACACTTTGCCCAGCATATTTCTTCACTGCAGTAATCAACTTGGTCTGTTTAGATCATCTATAGCAGCAGCCATGGAATACCACCTGGATATCAACCAATGGCCCTCTGTTCATCACTTCCTAGTCCTACTGCCCTAAGTCAGACTTGAGAATCAACAACATGCAACTACTGACCGCAGAGGCCATCGAAATACGTGCTTGGATTTGGTCTTGTTCCATGCCTTGAACTTCCTGTGTAAGGGTACAGCCTCACATCTTTTTTACCTTTTCACTCACATAAAAAGCTTCCTCTAGGTGAGAACAGAGTTGGCAACAGGTCTAAATCCTTCTCAGGTGTTAGCCCTGGATTTAGGTCCAGCCTTATGATTTAAAGCCAAAACTTCAGGCTGGAAAAATAAAAACTAACTATATGAGGACGCAGGGTACAATATGGCGAGCTCAGATTTGAATGTGGATCTAAAATCCAGAAATGAGAACCAATTCTAGTAATTCTGGGTTTGTTTTTGACAGACTGAGCATGTCTCTGCAGGTGATGGGAGGAATAAAAAGAAGAATCAAAGCACTAATAGTTGTAAACCTAACTTCGCACTGTTCAAAACCACAATCAATCTGCCGCTGTGAAACATGCCCCCATGTACATACAGAGAGGTGAGAAGCTACTTTGTGAACACCTCAATCCCAGCCTCACAAAGTCAATTTTCATGTGTCTGGACTGAGGTGGTTCAAACGACGGCAATGAATTTACAATTCCTAAACTGGATTTATGAAGTGACAAAACATGCAGTTCTTGAAGCAGCTCTGTCCTGCACGGCAAGCTATAGCTGTATGCTAGTGCTCTCTAATCAAACCTTATGCTGCTCCCTCACAAAACAACCTTACAGAAAGGGGATGTATGATACATGTTCCACACATCCAGATCGCTACAGCAACAAGTGATCTGAATTTGAAAAAGAATTCCAGACTCTTGTATTCATGTCTGTGTCCCATGTATAACGTGAGTCGGAAAACCCAGATACAGATCTGGGGTGATTAGCACTTAAATTAATAAGGAACATAGAGAAAGAGCTGTGCCTAAAACATAGCACCACAGAATGTTTTGGGTCAGAAAGGACCTTCAGCTCATCCAGTTCCATACACCATCAGCACATTCTTCCTTATTTTAAGTTAAATCTGTTATTTTAAATAAAATCTGTGATAAAATCATTAAAAATACGCCTTTTATTGCAGCTTTTCTTTTTAACCCAGTATCCCTTGATAACTACCAGTTGCTCAGGGTTCACAAGCAGAGCACTGAAACGGTGCCTTTCCATGAACGAAGTTCTGTCCAGGCTGCGAACAGGGACATCAGTGGAAGAAAACGCGCCCAAGTGCCGGGGAAGATCAGGGGCTGCAAATGCAAACAGAGCTGGGAAAAGGGCGGCTTTGTTGACCAAACCAAAGCAGAGGAGGCGGCAGGAGCAGGCTTGGAATTCAAACGGGAAGGAGATTTACCGGAGAATGAGAAAATCTTTCTTCTGCTCAGATCGAAAAATCCGCTTGAGAGACTCATCAAAGATGGTTTTGTGAAGGCGGTTGGTCACGACGAGCTCCCCTAACCGGTACCAGCAGCGCTGCAGTGCTCCCGAAGGTAACCTCTCCTCCGGTGCAGCAACTTTCGCCAATGATGTGCTTTTGCCTTGAAGGAAGGCGGGGTTAGGAGTCAGCGTCGGGGCCATAAATACGAGGGTCCTATGTCAGGGAAGCAGAAGTCAGTGCACAGCAGCGTGCGCTCGGAGCCGGCGTTAGAGGGATTCCCCGAGCCCGCTGCGCCGCTCGCTGCCGGCCGGGACCGGACCCGACCCGCTCCGCTCCAGGCGTCATGAGCCGCGCAGCCGCCGCGCTGGGGCCGCTGCCCGCGCTGCTGCTGCTGCTGCTGCCGGCGCGCACGGCGCTGCTGGCTGGGGCCTGCAGTTGCGCGCCCGCGCATCCCCAGCACCTCATCTGCGACGCGGCCCTGGGTGAGTGCGAGCGGCGCCGGGAGCGCGGGGCTGTGGCTGAGGGCGGTGCGGTGCGGTAAGCACGGCCACAACCGCCCGAAACGGCTGCATTAGTTAGTGACTTCTTACTCTGAACCAGAACCGCTTCTCTGCTGCGTCCTAACGTGGAGCAGGCAGGGGGAACACCTGAACTTTCACATGGCTGCTGTTAACAGCGCCCGTAGTTACTAGAGCCGCTAAATGCTCGCTATGTATAAACCATGCATAGGGGGGGTTTACTAACAAATCGGGAGGACGGCATCCCCAGGACATAAAATAACAGCCCCCGGTGCTACGTATTGAAACACTCGGTCTCTGTTCTGCTCCACCCCAACTGCTTTAACTGGCTCCTGGATTACTTTGTCATTTTCTAATACTTGAGCAGGACAGTGATGGGCTCTTTATTCTCTACAGCCAAACTGGCAGCAGCACTGCTGTACGAACGCAACTTCCCATCGTTAGGACAACTGTGTCTCATGATACTCACTCTGCACTGGGGTTGGGAAGCAACTCGCAGAAAGAAACTCAAGATCTCAAAATTAGGGATAAGAAAATGTGTCATTTTGCAGTCCTTTGATTTCCCAGCTCAAGCTAAGGCTGGTTTAGCTTCCGTCTAGTGTGGCCAGTAAATGTAGAACATGAGTTTCCTAAGTGTCACAAAATTAGCATCTCTATGGGCAGGCAGTACTTTCTGCATACTGATTAATGGCTTTTATACCCTGACACAAAATCTTTGTGGCCATGACCGACTCTGAGCTCTGTTTGTGGCCATCAGTTAAATTGGGTTTTAATTTGCTCGTGTTAAGCAGTGTTTTCCATGGAGTTCCCTCCACCAAGCATTACAAACTTGGGCTTGTTTAAGGTGGGACAGAAAACAGAACTTGTGCGACCAGGAGCTTAACTCCGTATGTGCACATTGAGCCATATTCCTCTGCTGCATTCCTGGACATCAGAAAGTGATGGCTTTTAGACTTATTGTAGAGATTTTCCCAAACAAAAAAAAAAAAAATCACAATATAGAGGAAACTCAAAATGCTCATTCTGAGGCATCTTCCTCAGGAAAGTTATTCTGGCCATTCCTATGGCAGATAGTAAGATTTAATCTACTCTTAGATTCATTTTACAAATGGCAGCTATAGGCTTTCATATTTAAATACTGAAGCTCGTAAAACACAACTGCTTTGTATTTGGACTTGATGCCCAAGCTCTCACATCTATAAATGTTCCTGTTTAAGTAAACTGCTCCTTTTGGCTACGGAACATTCATATCAAGGATCCCTTTGTTTAATATCTGTCACTTGAAAACAGTATTTCTATATATTATAAAATGTCAGAGACATGTGGGTATCATTTCATATAAATATGTGCATACATGGTTTTATACATTCGTATGCATAAAACCTGCCCTAAAGCATTTAAGGGTGAATTATTTGATTTCCTGTGGCAACACCATCTTCCATAAACAAAGTCACTTTAAAGGATCTGTGGAAGACCAGTGGAGCTATGTGCCCCGTGTAAGAGGAATCCCTCCTAACCAGGGTGCCAGAGGTGGCTCCTCCAGCCTGCTGCCAGCAGCCGTGGGTTTAGATGCTATGTGTGGGGGCAGGCTGCAGGCTGGGGCTGCCCATGGGAAGGGGCAGCACCATCCCCTGGGAATTGGGGCTGGGCCTCTGCTGTTTGATGCATAGTGGGTCTGAAGCCACCTGGGTTCTGAAGAGGGACTGGGAAGCTCACACTGTGCCAGTAAGCATCCTGTGCTGCAGCATAACTGAAACTTCTCCTCCATAGCACCATATTGAAAGATATTGGGGGGGTGGGGGTGTTTAAGATGTAAAGATTAAACTGAAAATCCGTACTCCAATTTCAACACTTTCATACTTTCAAAAGGTTAAACAAAGGGACAGCTCTTCAGCTGCCAAGATCTATGGGAGTCGAGTGTTAATCCAGCTGTTTGCTGAGACTGTTCTGTTTTTTCAGTGATTGAATTCATCCATCCATCCATCCATTTACCCACAAACACATTCAAGTATTTCCTCACAGAACATCCAGCACATCTCCTTTAAAAGAAAGGAACCATGAGATGCCTCTGACTTCCACAGCAAAATAAAAGCTGAGACAAACCCAAAGCACACACTTGGGTCACTGCATTATTTCTCAGTTCACTCTCTACCATTTTACATTTCCTTTGATCACTTGTCATTTGGGTGGAGTGAAAATGGAGGTGGAAGGGGCTGAGTCATTAGACACTACTTGAGCCATTAACTGAATGTGTGAAGCCACTCAGCAAGCTTAGCATTTATATGAGAAAAACAACAAGCTGATAAAGTAATTTAAGTCCGGGACAAGCTCTTCTCACTTTTTGTGTTCCTGTGATTAATGCTGTGATACCTTGGCTTTTACTGTCAGGAGGGTTTTGTGGCTCTGTTCTCTTTCTAAACACCCACACAACCTGAGTAACTTGATAGAAGTAACAGGCTTTCTGACAGACCTGGAGTAAAAGAGAGCTTCTGGTCCTGCTCAACCTAAATAAGGAATAAGTGAAGAGCCCCGCAGGTGTTACATGGCTGTTAACACTGCAAGGATGGGTATGTAATGATGGGCAGTAAGTCAGGAGTGCCATGGCAGTCCTGCCATCTATCCGAGTTTGTGAGTTCATCTGCCCACTTAGCTGTAAGAGGGTGTGAATTTGTACAAATCTGAACTTCTCAGTAGCGTTAAACTTCACAGAGAGGCCAATCCTCATTTGAAGGAAGTGCCTGGCACCCTGAAGATACACACCTGTTATCCCTCTTGTGTTCTTCTAACTGGTGCCCAGGCCCTCCTAAAAGGTGCTGAATGCCTCCAAACCCCAAAGAACACCCATATTTCTCAAGAGGACTTTCACTGGGCATGGAGCTGGCAGGTTTGTGACACTGCAATTCCATGCACTGCACTGCTTATTGCCAGTGCTGAGCCCTGTGCCCCTGAAGCATCCAGGAGGCCTTCTCCATACTGCAATGAAACGTGGTGAGGACATGCTGGTTAAGGTTTCAAAGCCAGTAGCAAGGCACCATAGTGTCAAGCCAATGAAAGAAAATTCCTCTGATAATGGCTCTTTTTGGAGAGAACCATGGATGCAATTGAGTTTATCAGGTAGTGTTGAGATACCAGATTTCCCTTTTACCACTGACTTCAGTCTTCCTATACTAACCCAAACCAACCTTCACATCAAATTAGACAATCTAGAGAGAGAAATGGTAACTGAAGAGAGGACCAATTCCTTTCCAAAGTCGGGCACTTTTAAATCATGCTGGCTTTCCCCCTTAGGCATAAGCAAGGTTATATTTTGGACAGCAGGATGAACGTGTAAGCACTTTGCATTTCTTAGATATATAACACCAGTACCCTCCCTTTCAAGTCAGATGTGATCTTTCTGATTTAAACTGTCTTACTGTTGTTTCTTCTTAAACATCTATATAAAAATGGTATTTTTCTTGAATACTGGGCACCACATTCCAACAGAACTGAAAGACCTCGAGTACAAATCAGTATATAATATAGCTTCAGAGCATAGTTCTATAGCTTTGGAGAAGGGTGGCACATTTCAAGTATGAGGGAAGCTTTACAGCTGGAGCTTGGCAGCATTTTCAGCCTGTTAAAAATCACTGAGATCAGGCATTGTAAAGATGTGCGAGATGATAAATCAGGTTTTAATCACATATAAAAAGAACAGTAAAAATCATATTTAAGTACACCAGAATTAAATTTGCAAAGTCAGCTCCCCCAGGATAAAATTACAATACACTATGTCTTTATCACTGAATTTCCTAATAAAAATTCCACTGCTCAGTGTCTCCCAGTTTTGCCTCTCTGCATCATAATATCTAGTTTTGTACTGGAGTGGATTAATTTGTACATTATTAGAGAGGGAAGTAACTGCCCTGATGGGAAAAATCAGCGTTGGAAAACGTATCAGAAATGCAGACAGTTTTTCTTCCAAGTTAGGTGAGAAAAGGTGAACAGGGACACGAGAGTAGACTTTTCTGTTTCATTTTTACTGTATTACGTTGCAGGCACTCACCATATTGTTAATCTCACAGAGACTACTTGCTGTGAGCAGTGTGATTATGCAGATAGGACACCTGCATGTTCAAGCTGATGAGCACCTGCAGTGGGGGTTTTGACACAAAATGAAGCAGCTCTGTAATGAATCTTCACGTGGTTGGGAGTAGAGCATTCACACAGCTGTAACCACACCATGGACCAGAAGACCATTACAGACAGGAATGCAGACCTTCATCTTCGGGGGGGGGGGGTCAGCAGTGCCCCAACACCTCCTGACTCCTGAAGGCCATGCTTGAGGGAGCAGGCAGAGCGTGGCACATCCTAGGTCACAGACCCCACTAACAGACCTGGGGTCACCTAGCTTATAGCACAGAGTTGCCTACAGTCTTTTAGACTCTCCTCCATAGCACAGAAAGGTTAAAGCACTTGGCATATGATCTGCATTTACATTATTGTCTTGCCAAAGGGAGGCTTCCTAGCAAGGTCCTTCCTCTAGAGCGAGCAATCGGTGACAACAACGCATAGGTTAGTCCTGAAGTAGCTTGTCACCAATGAAAGGAATTGCACACCTATAATTTCTCAGGGGTCCCACACCCCCCCCCCCCCCCCCAAAATGAAAGCCGAGTTTCTATTCCAAGAGTTGTGACTTCCATTATAGCAACAATGCACTGGACGTTTGCTGTTCCTGTTCTCTCTCAAACAACAACAGCACTGCACCTGAGCATCCTTCTTGCACAAATAATTACGAGAAAGAAGCTGTGAGACTCTATTACCGTAGATAATCATAGAATCCCAGACTGGTTTGGGTTGGAAGGGACCTTAAAGCTCAGCCACTTCCAACCCCTGCCATGGGCAGGGACACCTTCCACTAGAGCAGCTTGCTCCAAGCAACCCGGCAAGATATTAGTGCCATTGACAGAGCATGCTGCCAGAGCAGT